AAAACGCTATTTGTCTTTGACATGGTTATCATTTTTTTTTTTTTTAAATGAAAATTCACCTTTGTTAAATGGTAGGGTAATATATGTATATATGTTTAATTATCTCACTCGGGAGAATAATTTATTTTCATTTTATTTCTTGTATTCATGCAGCACAACACAATATCTCATTTTACCCTAGCTAGAGCTACATGCAATACTCTTTATCCCTCGATGCTTCATTTATTCTAGCAACATAACCAAAAAAAAAAAAAAAAGAGAAAAAAAAACCCTAGATTATGATTCGAACATGAATGCACCGGAGACTTATATATAAGTAAGTTTTAGTCGTCGCACTCTAAGATGTCCGAACGTATACCATCCCAGATTCCCTTAGCCACTTGTTCGTTCGCCTTGTCAGTGTAATGGCATGAGTCCCAAAACAAGTAAGTTCTGGGTTTCGAACACAATTCATACTCAGTACTCAGAGGTTTCCTTTGTCCCCCACAGTTGTTAATACCTCGGTAAGAGCCCGACCCGCAGCACGCGTCTTTCACGTCCTTCAAACCTTCGCTCATATAAACAATACACAACATCAAAATTTAATGCATGCTAGCTTGGATACAAAAGTTTTCCAAAAAACCCAATCATTTTTTTTTTTTAAATTCAAATCTGACTCAACTTTAACTCAATACTACTATCCTCAATATTATCAATATAATTAAATAATATCACATCAACTTTATAATTTACTATTCATCAAACTATTCTTTTCTTCTTCTTTTTCAGAAACAACTTCTCCACCGCTCTATTTTCGTACTAGATAAAAAAAACTTCGACAAATAAAATGGAAATATAAAAAAAAGTCATCGTTTTTTTTCAAGAGTTTGTACACGTATATATAGTACGTACCATATTTTTTCGGTTCAGCAATCATGTTTGACATATCACTATGGAAGTCATATACAAACAATTTGAGTTTGGACAATTTTCTTAGGCTTGGTATCAGCGTCGTCTCCAAAGCGGTATTGTGTAGTTCGGCCAACTCCAACGCCTCAGTCATGCACTTGTTTTCGTATTTGTGTACATTCTTGATGATTTTCATGCCTGGCAAACAGCCCAATGGTCCCATATTCATAAGCACAATATTTCTCCCTCCATTTGCATATATTGTCTGCATATATTGGAGTTAATAGTAATAAGTCCTTAATTTTCCATAGTCCTCTCTCTCTCTCTCTCTCTCTCTCTCTCTCTCTCTCTCTTACTATATATATAATTAATTTGTACTAGTGAGAATGGTTGAATTTAAACGTACTTGAATCGCTTCTGATATGTTTCCGATAACCAAATTCACGTAATCTGCTGGTCGACGAAAAGAATGCAAAAATGTATCATTTAGCAGAAAAGGGCTGACATAATCACTTGAAGCAATGCTGATAATGTTGATAGCATTATATATAACGCTTTTAGCTTTTTTAGCTCCACCAAAGGCGCGTTTCAGATCACGAACTTCTCTCTTGTAGTTTTTTACTTGTGTTTTGAGATCAATCACCTGAAAATTTCTTATACTTATTAAATTTAAATAAATAAATTTTCCAGCTGCAATGTGTAAATTGGCTGGATAATGAACAAATAATTCAAAAAATTAAATAAATTAATCAATGCACCTGAAAATTAAATTAAGTGAAATAACATTAGAGAGTAGAAAAAAAACATACAAAGCCTTGCAAAGTCTCTGTTAAGGCACCAGCTCCAGCTGATGCAAAGTTCATTCCAATATAATTTTGGGTCCCACTGCCATTCTTATTTAGATATATTGGAATTAAACCTTCCAATTTTGCATACTCAGCTATATATCACCTCGCAATAGGCAACAAATTCAAGACATAATTAATTACCATTTTTAAGAAAAAAATGGTAATTAGGTATAATTTATGTATATTTATGTATATTTAGATAGACAAGCAAATGCTCAATTAGGTTCATTAAAAAAGCATATATGTTTAACTAATTAACTAATATACCGATGAAATCGGGTATTATGCGTCCGTCACAGAATCTCCCGGTCGAGCCTTCGGCAAAGTTCTCGCCATATGGCCAGAAATTGGCCCGGTCGAAGGCGCTCGTCTTTATGTAGTTGTTATTTCCGCCATCGAAATACGAGTCACCAAGGACGAACACGGCCGATACTTCGGGGCAGGCTTTCAGGCTGGCTGGTACACTATGGATGGTGATGAAGGTGGTGATGATGATGATGAGAAAGAAAGCTACTTTTTCCATTAAAATGGTGTGTAAATGTGTAATGAACTATATATATCTTCAATTTTCTTTTTTTTTTTTT